AGATCAGTGGGATTTTTTGTGCACACTTTTTGAAAAAGAAACATGGAAGGTATTTAATAAGTAAATAATTAAGTATATAAATTTTTTTTGAGTTGGATTATGGACTGTCTTCGTTCTAACTCGTTGTCTTTGAAGCTTTTACGATTGCTTTTATATGGCTTTTATATAATTAGCTTTTGTGCATTAACTTATATTGGATAGTTTGTTTGTTAGTAAGATTTGCATGTACTCCCATGCCTTTTTGCTTTCTTTAGATTGTAAAATAAATGCTTCTCATGTTGTAGAATAAATCAAAGAGAATGACGGAAGCAAGGTTGTCAAAAAATAGGATCGAGCACAAATCGGGACCTACTTTGTTCCGGTTTAGGGCTAACAACCTTGAAGCTACCGGACATGTGGCTCCTTATCTCGGTACAATTGCCGAGACCACTACAAGTGAAGACCGTAAAGTAAGTAAACATGAGCTTTTGTTTTCTTGTGGTCATGATTTTTATATTTTTTTCATTTGCTGTTCAGCATCACTTTTTCAYCTTGGACGCCCGTTTTAGCTTAGATTTAGCCTGAATTTACAGAAACTCAAAACTTAAAWGTTGTAGGACCGTTTGTTAGCTTTCCARATCATCTTTAATCACTTAAATCCGAGCTCGGASGAGTGATATATGTTCGAAATACCATAGTCTCACAAAGCTGTCAAAAATATTTTTTTATCCCTTTTTCGTTCCAACTTTTCCAAACCTTTATAAAAACACATTAATTTAGTTCGTTTTTTACCATTTCAACTTATTAATGAGGGATAATTGACACGAAATATATAATTGTAATAAAAACAATTGTTTGAATCGTATTTACAGAAACTTGTTGAGGAAGAGATTGAGAAGATTAAGAACGCTTCTGAATGCACTCCGGAATCTGTCGGGACTCTAATTCGTTGCCCAATCGAAAAAGAAATATCAATCATCGAGCAAATTGTTGGTCCGTCGGTAGGTACGGTTGTTCGAGGTATGGGTAGTTTGGCGGTTAGACCTGCGAGGTTGAGAGGACCGGCGAAGGGATTCTCTAAGCCAGTATCTACAGTTGACGACGAAAATTTGCGGCAACAACTTGCCGAGCGTGACGAGGAGATTAGATTGTTAAAAGAGGGACAGCATGAGGCAAAAAAGGAAGCTGCCGAGCAAAGAAAGATGATACAATCATTGATGACTATGTTGGGTGCTAGTGATTCAAACTCTAACACAACAACTCCRACCTCTCACGCTTTAGGTTAAGTTTTTAATTTTGTGTTATTGAACTTGTTGCCTACTTTTAGACTTATTTAGGGAAAAACAATTATCTTTCAATTATTGAACA